TTATAAAAGAAACAATAAAAAGATAAATTTTTAAAATTTAAATTAAATTTTAATAAAATAATTTAAAATTAATATTTTAATTTATTTTAAAAATCAAAATTAACATACACTTTTTCCTATATATATTTTAATTTGAAAGAATAGAAAAATTGGCCTGGGCCGGGTCAATTTAAGTCCATAACAGCAATCTCTTAAAAAAGGTTCGGCCCAAATATCAGAAATAGAATTAGAAGCCCTAGTTTTCCCCCAAGTACCAAATTTCGTCCGGCAATTTCAAATCCTCCCAATTTCCGAATCACCTCCCTAAACTTCGATCTTTCAACATTCTTAAAAAAAAATCAGCCAAAGCAACCCGTTAGAAGGCGCCATTTTTATTTTTCCTCCAAATTTTAAAAAATTAACAGAGTCGGAGCGAGTCACAGACGCTCGTGAGGAGGAGGAGGAGGGAATTGATTGGACGGAAATAAGGGAACCTCCGTAAATGGCGGCAGCATCGCCGGCGCCAAGCAATAACAGCGCCGAAATCCCTGCAGCCGTCGCTACCGCTAACGCAGTGGCGGCTGCTGCGGCGCCGTCGTTTATCCGTATGGATACTCCACCCAAATCCAAGCGCGGGCTCAACAAACCCAAGTGCATTCAGTGTGGAAATGTAGCTCGCTCCAGGTAATTCCTCTTTCTATCGTGTTCTATTGCGTCTAAACATCTGAATTTTGGTGAGATTTAAGGGAAAATAAATACTTGCGAATTTAGGGGTTTTTGATAGATTTGGGTGCACTAGCTTGCCATGTTGAAGATAACTCTAGTTTTTTTGTCCAATGTCCATTCGTAGCTAAGAATGCGAAAGTTTTTATTTTTAGTAGTTTTGGATGCACTAGATTGCCAATGCTGATTGCCAGTGGTTTTTTGAGTGATCTGTAGTTTGCAAATAAATGGAGCATTTTTGTGCTTGTTTGAATCGTTATTCTGTGAGATGATTCACTTAGATTGGTCTTATTTTTAATTTTTTTTAAATATTGTTAGAGATGTAGATGATTGTTCTTATTATTATCTCTTGCTAGGTTGAAATTGTTTTTTTACCTCTTTGTTGCGAGGTGTTGTGTAAATTGGTAAATTATCCTCTCATCATTTTATGATCTAAATTACCCATGCAGGTGCCCGTATCGATCATGCAAGAGTTGTTGCTCAAAAGCTCAAAACCCATGCCATATTCACGGTATGGCAACTTTACTGTGAAATGGATCTCAGAGTAAAAATAGAGGATACTATAGTTATACTCTCATGATGATTGTTTTTGTTGTTGCAATTTTATCATTTTAAAAGAACTTTTGTATGGTATGAAGTTTAGTAGGTGATCTACTGTCATTTAATGCTTCATAGACTTTAATGAATTTCTGCCTTACTTGAACGAAGTTTGCAGATTTGGAGATTACTTTTTGCCTAAGTTGGAAAAAATGTTTCATACTACTTATTAACATTCCATTGTTAGGTAGGGAAAACTATTTGTTAAATTCATTTTTTGGTTTGCTTTGTGAGTGCAGTTATAAAGGCAAATGCGGCCTTCCCAGATAAGACACCAACTTCAAGTACTTCTCCATCAGACCTGAAGTCAGCTGAAGCCTCTTCTGCTGGGTAAGTTGTAAGCATCAGTAACTCAGAGATTCTGCTTTGCATATGGCTTCAAGTGTGGGTTTTTTTTCTTAGGCCTTTGTTTAGATTCTGTAGAAATTGATAGTGGTCTTCTGTCTAGTTGTCAGAATGATTGTGTAGATTTAGAAATGGGGGCTTGCTTCCTCTTCTTCTTCTTCTTCATTTTTGTTTTTTAGAAGTGTTCATTTAACTTGCATTGCAATGTTAATGCAGCAAAACTTAAATTGAAAAGGTTAGATACAGGAAACTGTGTTGACTTATTTTTGAGGATTTCCTGAACTTTTATAAGAAAAGGATTAGAGCATTCATATCAGATGCATGTTTGACTCCTTGTGTGCTGGACTTGGGTTAGTTTGTCAAATGATATGGTATGCATGTATTATAACCAGTCAAGGTTTCCTAATCATAGCCATACAACTAATATTATTGAGGATATAATCTGAGCTTAAGTTTTCAAAGCTTTCTCATTTTGATGTTTCAAATCCCTTTTGGAGATGGAATGGGCTATACAGTCATTCTTTTGCTTCTAATTCCTTTTACATTTACCTTTTCATTTCTAGTTCCTTATATGCTTCGCTTCTCTAAAATATGCCCACTTGCCCAGTCTTTCTTCCAATTTCTGATTTCATTTTTTGTGTCATTGACTTCTTGCTGGTAGTTCGGTTGAATTGTTTAGTCCTATCTCTGGGTCCTTGAAAGTAATTTTTGGGTATGATTTCATACTGAAATGTGACTGTTTCTCACCATGCTGGACCTTGTTTCAGGACTGGGGTGAGAGTTTCAGTTCGGCAACTTTCCAATGCTTTTGCTCAATTCAACAATCTGCAAATGTCAGTCCGGTCAAAGAAGCACCTAACCAGAAAGGTACTCTATAGTTTATTATAGTAGAGCAAGAGCTCCATATTTGTCTATATATTATTTTTGGCCAACTTGTCACTTGGATCTTTAAGCGTGGGATTTCCTAATGTTTGGGGCTTTTTCAGGAGGCTGTAGCAATAAATGAATGGAGGATTTCCAAGTTAAAGGAATTTAAGGACAGAAATATTGAAGTGGAAAATGAGGCTTTTGATCGTTATATGCAGAATGTTAGTTTACTTGAGGAGGTACTTTCCACAAAATCCATTCCGGAAGGATCTGATGGGGATGGGTCTACTGTGTCAGAACCTGACCCCACTTCTAAGGAAAGCCAAACAGCGGTGATGATTTCAGGACTGAAGACAAATCTAAGATCAGATCCGGTGACAATGGAAAACTTCAGAAAGAGGAAACAACAGCTTGTTGACCAGGGATTGAAGGACCTTCAACAATGTGAGGCAAAAGATGATATTAATGACACAAGTGACCAGAACAAACTTGATGATATGCCAAAGAAGGCCAAAACTCTATGGGCCGATAGAACGGCAGCCTTAGATGACTTAATTGACAAGTTAAACAAAGCTCGGAATGAAGATGATCTGAAATCCTGCTTGGAGATCAAAGCACAGCTTTATGATCAGCGTACAGTGTCTAGTGAATCAGAAACCAAAGATCTTGACACATCAAAGGAGCAGACTGCAAAGGATATAACCCCAGGAAAAGTAGCAGATTATTCTTTTCCAAAATTGTTCACTGCCATTGAAATCGATCACGAAACTCTAAACAATGTGGATGCACATTTTTCTTCCCTGGAGCAGATAGAAGATCTATAACTACTAGAATTAGTCAGATAAACTAGCGTCTAGTTAAGCATGTGATGTGATTAAAGAGTTGGTTCTGACTTTTCTCTTCTTCTAGGTATCATTATTCACTTGTGTAATTTCCTCCTTCCATGTCCATAGTGCATTAGTATTAATGATATTATAGCTGCCCCTAGTATTCTCAAATTGAATGTGGAATAGATTTCTTTGTCTTTTGGATCATGCAATTAACCATATCATCTTACATAAGCATGTTGGGATGGCAGTTCTCCTTTCCCTTTAATAACTTTTCTGATTGGGTGAAGGGTATCTGCTCTGTTTCTCTGCTGAAAATTCATCATTGGATTTCTCTTTCATCCATGCTGACTTTTGTTTTTTCTTCCCAAAGAGCTGGCTTCTGTGCATTCTGGCCTCTGGGCTAGGTTAGTTACATATTGGGCTAACTGAGCAGGTTGGGTTTTCTTTCTGATTTCTGAAAATAAAAAATATATTAAAAAGGAGGAAAGAAAACCTTAGATTGGAGCTCCCTCTTTGGACTTGGAGTTTGGACTAAGTAAGTGGGCCAACAGCAGCCTATGGTCTTCCCTCTACCCCTTCAAGAAAGGCAAGTCTTGAGGTGTGTGGTTATGATACCTTAATCTTTTCTCAAGCCATAATTAACGGTTTGTTTGGATGCCACATATTTTGGCCTCTTATGGTTTTTCTTTGTTTTTTTCCCCATTAGTGAAAGTTAATTGATCTTGAATCTTCACTTTCTGAACAGATAAGAATGGCTCAGGATGAACATTTGAAAAAGTAGAAAAGGAAAGCAGAGGGGTCACCCAAAATGGCTAAAGATATAATTGTGAAATGAGAAAAGCAGGTAATTGCTGGCCAACCAAACATGTCCTTGTTCATTATTTATCTTTGAATCAAAGTCAGATTAGTTAGATGAGTTTGCTAGAGCCTCCACATAAGGAATCCTAAATGGTTCTAAAGGCATAGAACCATTATGACAGAAATTCCTCCTAGTGGTTTTTTTGGCCCCAAAGGCCTACTCAACCCATTAAGCTTTTGTAGGGGTTTTCTTAATGGGCAGTGCTTTTTTCTATTTGCTTTATTCTCACCTACAAACTTCTCTAACACCTTTCATGGTGGATGTCAATCTTTCTTTCTAGGCCATTTTCCCCTCGAAACAAGGCTGTCAATGCTTTCAAATTTCCTTGGCTCTCTTCATCTCCCCATCACCTTTTCAAAGACCCCCTTTTGTATTTTTATCAAACTTCTCCATTACCATACCTACTGTTCTCAACCACTTCATTTTAATCATGATTCTGATTCATTAAAGTCTAAATTATTAGCCCACCACCTGTGTGCTTCCTTCATCGTCTTCCCTTTAATAAGAAAATAGAGTGTGGAAATTGTTTAGGAGGATCTTGATATTGCCGCTAGTAGGTGGGGAATTTTCATTGGAGAATTAAAGCATAACCCAACTTTTGTTGTGGTCTAATTACACGACACAAAGTTTCAAAATCTGGCTGCTTGGATTATCAAAATCCAACTTGACAATACATTCTTGTCAAATAAATCATTCTTAATTACTAACGCAATAGGGCAAACAGAAAAAATTCAAATTCATCAAGTATTCCTCTTCATTAATTGCCACTTCCTTTCCATCTGGACCCCCCTTATGTTTACAAGTTCTGGAGATAAGAACTAAAGAAAACCTAATAGTATTATTAATTAGAATATCAACATATTATGTGGTAATGCTGAATTTGGCAGCCCATCAATATTAAAATAGGGGATGCTGACTTATCAAGAAAGCTCAGATTGAAGAAGAAAGCATCATTTTCTGTGATTGTGTGTTTGGTTGCATTTGCATAATATTCGTCTTTTGGAAAAGTCTTCCCATGTGTGGGATGTGCAGCCAAGAATCATGACATTCTCTATAATTGTGATATTGGGACACTATTAGGGCTGTGATTGATGCCAATATTTTTCAATATGGTTTGAACTGTACTGCTTATAGATTCCATAAAAGATAGATACAATCTTTGGTTGTCGATTACTCCAACAGGACCACAGCCTGTTCATTCTTATTCTCAGTTGAGAATCTTGGCATATATATTGATATATTGTATAAGGCTTATGGATGAGAATAACAGTTAGGTTAAGTATTTCCAGTTAGACTGGGTATATATATTATATATTGATGGATTAAGCATGGTTTACGTTGATGGTGTGGGTTATGTCGACTTAGGTAGGGTTAGGATCTTATTTATGAGTAGATATATAGTTTCATCGGACAGCAAGACGTATGTTTAGATCCTTAATTATTTGTTTTTACCGATTTGTGTCTATCAGGGCAATGACCTAAACCATGGCATATGTACCACGGTAGTGTTCAACCCAATTTTGCAGAAAATCCAAGAGAAAGGATGAAAACATTCAAGATTTTGCACCTCCTCGGGTCCTCCGTCAAACAGCTACAATTTAACCAAAGAATAACATTCCACTTGAATCGGCCTGGCCTCTCAATATATTGAATTGATTAATGCTTCATTTACAGGCCACAAATATGATATAGATTTTGATAAAAAAAAAAAAAAGGATATTTTTTTGGTATTTAATATCAAGGTGTTTATAGATCAATTTTCGTGTATCTCAAAATTAATCTCTTTTCAAAATTAATCTCTTCTCAAATAATTTTAAGAGCATACTCTCCATATTAACTTAGTGCATTCAAAAAAATTAATTTTTAAAATACTTACCTCAAGATTCAAATTTTAAACCCCATTAAAATATAAATCTAAATAAAAAATCTCTAAACCCAATTAGAGTTTACCAAAGTCGATGTCATGATCACATTAACGAATGGCTTAATCTAATTAGGCGGCCGGATTAATTATAATGACAATAACAATGACAACAACAAGACAACCTTGGCTTGAAGGAATCAAAGGTAAGTGTACTATTTTATCTTTTTATTGTTCAACCTTTTCCCTTGGATGGTAACTTTGGAGATGAGTTTATTACAATAGAGAAATGCGAGAAGATGGGGACTTGAGTTTCAATTTTACCCATAACATTTCAAACATTGAAGATCTCTACAAGGTTTTAGGATCTCCAAGGAAAAGATGTGACCATGTAGGGACCCCACCTTTCCATTTGTGAAGAAATAGATCACGAAGTTCTTCATCAACAAATAAAATTCGTGAGTGAAAGTAGTTATCAGAAAGAACAACAGAAAATTTGGGGGTAAATGAACAATTCAAAAGTGGATTTGATTTCATGTTAGAGTGAAAAAGAATCCTCTTTGGAAGGACATGCAATTGTCCGCATGTGTTGATCTCAAAAGATGAATTTAGATTTGATATTTAAATTAATCTTTAAAATGTTAAGTTGGCATTTAAATTTGATATATCTAAATTAAAACGACATTATTATGTAAATTCTTTAAATAAAACTCTTGCAATTTAATAATTTATATGTATTTTCTATAATGATTTTCAAAAGTAATAGTATATTTTGTTGGACAATTTAAAATCTACTAGATTAATCAGGCATAGAAACCTGGCTTAGCTCACAAAATTAGTTGCGAAACTGACGCAAATGTTGATTAAGACATGGACAATTCATGCCTTAAAAATTGCCGGTGCACAAACCTTGTCTTGTCCACATCTTTTGTGATCTTTCATGAGGTTTCGTGTACTCCTAATGTCCCTTGATTAACACAGTATATACCAATTTCAGACAAACGTTTTTATTTTGACAATTGGGAAATATTGTCCATTTTAAGCACAGTAAATTTTATCCCATTAAAATTATTAGTTGGCCTTGAAGGATAAGAACAAATAAAGTTCCAAAAATAAAATATTAGTTAAATGAGTGGCCAAAATTAAGATCTTATCAACTTTGTTTGGATCCATTTCTATCCTCGGATAAACAAAATTTTGGTCTCTAATGTGCCTTTCAAGTCTCTTTTTTTTTTTTTTTCTATCTCTTCTTTTTCTTGATAATTTTAGCATTACAGCATGGAGCAAGCAACCCACAAACAGTTTACCAAGAAATAGATAAAAAAAAAAAATCATTTTTAACGAAATTAAAAGAGAAATTAGTTATGGGTTTATATTTTTTGAATAGTTTGATCTTGGTATCATTTCTTTTTGTTTGATTAATTAAGCCCCAGAAGATGCCAAAAAGAGTAATAGAGTGGACCAAAGGGTTCTTTTTTCTTTTCTTTTTTTTTAAGGGGTAAAAAAATAACATGTGTTTATAGTGTTGGTGCATGTCTATTCAGAGTGAGAGAGTTAATAATACAACTAAAAACCAACAGTATAAATTGATTGATCAGTTCATTTTATTCTACCCCAAAATCGCTTATTGAGACAAGAATACAAATTAAATTTTGTCAAAAAATTTCCATCTCCCCCACAAATTAATTATTTTTGTAAAATTTCAATTGAAGAGAGTAGGTCTCCTTAATTACAATCTTTACAACTAAGAAAAAACCTACCTTCAACTTGGGTTGTTGGCATGATTTTTATGTGCAAGCAACACCAAATCCTTCATAATCAACCCAAATTGTAAAATAATTAATAAAATATTTGGAATTAAATAATTACCAAAAACAAAAGATGAAAAAATAATCAAATGTACTAGATAAATTTTGTAGTCCGTGGGTATGGAACTGGAGGTTCATGTGTGCCCAAAGTCACATGTGGAGCACATGAGGTGCTTTGATTTCAACTGTCTCGAATTTTATAATTGTTGAAAAAGAAATGGTGCATCTGGATTTAGACTGGGAAAGGAGTTGGGTCCCCTCCTGTGAAGAATGGGACAATTTGGCCCCAAGAGAAAACTATGGGTATTTTGCCTTGTTATACATATCAGTTTAGCCCAATATAAAATGTAAGTGGGCCAAGTACCCTTTCCTTTCATGGCTACTTCACTATTTCATGGCCTAAATCAATTTCAAAAAAATAGAGGATGGGAAAAATAAAATGTACCCGCAAAAAAAATTTTTTTTTTGGTTAGGAAAAAATGGGTATAAATTCATAAATTTTTCAGTTTGGTACCATTTTCAGCTATTATTTTTTTTTTGTGTGGATATATTTATTACTGGGTCCAAAAATTGAAGTTCTAGTTCATACCTGACCATTCTGAATTCTAAATATTCTGGTGAGTGGTTGCATTTTCTCTAATAATGGAGATAGAGAGATCCATATGTCAAT